GGGGGGGGGGGGGGGGGGGGGGGGGGGGTCTGTGTGTCGGAGCCGTTAGTCCTTTATAGTCAAGTCCATAACTCAGGACACCTAGATGCACATATGCAATTACGTTAGTCAATGGCCAAGGAACACCTGGGCGCACGTGGCTATTTACATCAAATGCTCGGCAAGATTCTGAACATCTGAGGGACCCTGACCATTTTCTTATATTTTCCCAGCAACTGGGAATCCACCAGCTTTTGGCACCTTATATAGTAAAGGTCATCATTATGCAGAATTACTACAAGGGCCCAGAGAGAGAACATTTGCAGGCTCTTGATGAATGGTAATTATTTCCACCAAGCTGACCTCATTTGAGATCCTGGGTGATATCAGGAAATGTGTGTTTTCCATGGCTAACACTTACTAGACATTTCTCTCTTATTGGTCTCTTAGTCCCCTGTATCTAGATGTATTTTAGATGCCGGCTCCAGCTCTAAAGGATTCTAAAGGAATTACTCCTGCCTACAGCCCTGCCAAAGGGGTGGGCCTACATGTCATGCCCACAGAAGGTACTAGAGTGGACATATGATCTGAAGGGGCAACCTACAGGCTGGGAAGTCATTTGTAGCCAATCCTCTTTCTCTAAAAATCTGGAATTGGGAGAGTGAGAAACTGGGTCGGTTGGTAGCAGAGATATTTGGAATGTGGCTGGCCACATCAATGGCAGAACTCCCTTATGGGAGTCTGTGGCTGACAGACTCCTGCTACGGAGACTCTCCAGGGCTCCTCTGACTCCACAACCACTCTCCTATAAAGCCTGGCTGTTCAATGGTTCTTCTTGTGGACACCATAAACTTCAATTCCAATATTATTAAACACCTCCTTTTTTTTTTTTTTTTTTTTTTTTTAATTACCCTGAGTAGGTTTCTATTACTTTCAACCAAAAGAGCCGTCATTAAAACAGCACCTACTCTTGGGGGAAGAACATGCAGATGGAATTATGTCTAAATGTTCTGGGCATTTCCAGTACAAGGTATTGCTTTAATGGTTAATTAGAGTAAAGAAAACACTGTTGGTTCCTGACTTACTCCTCTCTGACTTCCCTCTACTATGCAAACTGGAAAAGTTAAAGCTCTCTCTCTCCCAACCTCCCTTGCAGCTAGGGGAGGTCATGTGACACAGTTCTGACGAACAAGATGCAGGTGAACATCTGTTGGTTCAGAGGCTGCTCCTCCTTCCTGTCTGTCTTGCATGAAAATGTTATGCTTGGAGCTGCTGCCACCACCTTCCAACCATGAAGGAAAAGTCAGAGAAATGCAGAGAAGCCAGCCTTGGCATATTGAGGTGCTGAACCAACACTAGCAGCCACCAAATTCCAGCCTTCTTGTTATGTGAGAAAAATCTATCCCTAAACTACTATCTAATTTTCCTACAATTTGGATGCAAAATCTTTTCTAAATAATACACTCTGAAAGTCAACATAGAACCTGATATTGTTTCCTTATAACAAACATGAGTTTTTAAAAACCAAATATATGACCAACATATTTTTCAATTAATTTCTCCAGACTTTAACTGAATGATACAAGCTCTCCTGGTAATTATTAAAATCTAATGAGGGGATAAGGTGAATAACTGCAGTGAAAAGCCATTGGAGGAAGCTGCTCTATGTGTATCTGAGGTAGGCAAGGACATTACTTCTGGTTGGGGAAGGGGAAAATCAGAGAAGACCCCACAGAGGAAGCATCTGAGCTAGACCCTAGAGGAAAAAAAAAAAAGTGGATGTTTAGAGATGGGGAAGAAAGGCATTCTTGGCAGAAGGAATAGTTTAAGCAAATATGGGAAACTGAAGGTCACATATAGGAAACAAGTCCATTCTTTCTGGGGAAAAGGACAATCAGATTAGAATGTCAGACCAAATTATAACAAGCCCTGAATGCCTAGTGAAGAAATCTGGACTTTATTCTCCAAGCCATGGGGTTCCATTGAAAGTTTCTGAGCAATTAGGAGTCCGAGTAGGTTTTTAGGAATATTCATCTGAAAGCAATAAGTGGGATGGATTGGAGGAGGCAGGGAATGGCACCAGGAGGCTATGCAGCCATCTGGGCAGGCGATGATGAGGGTAGAAAACAGGACAGCCAAAGTGAGAATGGAGTGGGAGGAAGAAACAGCCGTGAGGGACACCGCAGAATCAAATGTCACACAAACTCGCTACTGTCTGGAGATGGGGTGTGAGTCATAGCAAAATTAATGTAGAAGACATTTTACTGTACAAAATATAAACAAAAACCTCATGTGGTACCTCCGGAGCTGAAGACAGGAATGGTTTTATGTAGATGTTGGAGTCATGCACCTTCAGGTCATGGTCCCCAAGTCCCCTGGTCACTCCAATAGTTGCCATTACTCGGGCCTAGGAGTATAAGCAGAGGGTCATCAGAAACACTCACAGTGAAAGTGTCTTGTGACAGTACAGCTGCCGCAGGCTAAGAATGAGAAAAGAATTCTCCAGTTCTTTCTGCCCATCTTTCCATGCCCCTGGCTGTTAACTTATATGGGTAGTTGTTACCAAGGAAGGACTCACAAAAATCACTTTTGCATTTGAGGAGTGGTTTCTCTACCAATCATCTTAAGCTTGACGGGTTGCTGCTGTTTCTCTTCAGCTTTCTTTTGTAAAGACTGGAGGGAAGGATGTCTAATAAACTAATTCCAATGCATGCATGATGTCTACAGCTACTGAAATCAGTTCATACCAAATCCAATATCCTCCGTCCATCTGTCCATTACACACCCATTCTACAAGTATTTGCTGAACACCAGCTATGTCTCTAGTCCTGTGATAGGCACTAGCAGATGTTAAACGTCAGAGGCAGCTCCTGCCCTCCCAAAGCTCACTTAGCATGCTTTACAGCTGGAGAAAATAAGCCATTAGTAAATGTGTAACCTATCCTGCTAACAACCTCACAAATTTCCTCTGAGCAGAGAGGAACAAAATGTCACTAATGTCATAGCTACAGAGACCTCAGGGCTGAGACCTCATGCTTTCTTTAAATGTTTTTGAAATGATTTAAGGAAGCAATACTATTATACTAATGCCTATATAGTCAGCCTAAATATCTCCTGGAATGCCACAGATTTACCCAAACATTTACTGAGCACCTACTAAGTGCAGACATCATACAGTGAGGAACATAAATGTCTAAGGTCTCGGCTCTACTGGAACTTGGTGAGGAGGATAAGAGGCACATGTCTAACTAATAACATATAAAATATGGTTAAGTGCTGAAAGACATAAACAATGGATTATGTGAGTTTAGAGGAGGTAAAAATCCTTCTGAGAAAGTTCCCTGGAGGAGGTGGCATTAAACTTAGAGCAGAAGGATAGACAACGTCAAGACAGGCAGACCCAGTGGGATGGGGCAAAGGTCATTCTGGGGGGAATGAAGCTCAATGGCCTGCCCTTTCGGTCATCACTAATATATCTGATCAGTGTCATGGTTCAAAGACCTGAGCTTGAGTCTTCACTCTGTTACTTGGGTAATAAAAGTAACTACCTCATAGGGTGAGGATGAAGTAAATGAATGCTAAGAAACATTAACAATTTAACACATTGTCTTCATTTTCATCCTAGTCTTCCAAAAGGGCTGTGAATTTTGGAGCTGGTCTCAGATCAGAAGGTAGGCAGATTTTACATTACAGTAGAAATGGAACCATGACACATTTTTAAAGGTAAGAGTCAAAGGGGATAAAATGCAGACATGAACGGTGAAGTCTGGGGACCTCTGGTCAGGCAGGCTGCAGAAACCTTCTGCTCCACTGAGAGGCTGGACTGGCTCCTTCTAGAGAGAAAGTGTTCAATTTCCAATGTGAAAATTCTGATGCCTTTGCGGCCCTGCTGCTCTCCTTCCTGCAATGACAGCTTCTCTGCCTGGAAAAGGCACATGCCTGCATTTTAGTCCAAAGAAATCTGATGTTTCTGCTGGAGACTGAACATGTTTACAAAGCATACAGGTGTTACTCACACAAGTCCTTATAAGCATTTGTGGAAATAAAAAGTAATGGCTGCAAAAGTACTCTGAAACTTCTGTGCCAAAGTCCTCTGAAATTTCTGGGTAGGTGTATATGCAGAGAGGAAAAAGAAAACTCCTGTAAAGGATCTAGACAGAACGCCAAGAAACCATGGAGTCTCAGGCAAGGATGGTGTGCTACGTTGGTATAGGGCAAGCCTACTGATAAAAGCAACATGGAGACACGGTGGCTTTTAAATAGGCCAACAAAGGGCCGGCCCGGTGGCGCACTGGAGAGTGCACCACTTGGAAGTGCAGTGGCGCTCCCGCCGAGGGTTCAGATCCCATGTGGAGACCGGTTCCCGCTCACTGGCTGAGCGCGGTGCGGGTGCAACACCGAGGGTTGCAATCCCGTTGCCGGTCCCTGGTACGGGCGCGACACTGAGGGTTGCGATCCCGTTACCGGTCAGTAAAAAAAAAAGACAAAAAGGATAAATAGGCCAACAAATACAATGACAGGACTTGCTAGCTGCTCATCACAGGACTCTTGAGCCCTAATAAACTGAAATGCTTGAGGAACATGATGTTTCAGTGAACTGAATTTTTGCTTACCTGGGAAAACCCTTGCTCCTTTAAATCTTTATTGGTGGTAAACTCTTAAGAGCATATCAGTCCATTTTCTCACTGCACTAAGGGTATGCTGAACATAACTGAACAGCTTATTTAATACTTATGAACATATTGAAGGTCTGCCATGTGTCAGGTACCAGGCTAGACAGGTACTAGGGCAAAGATAACAAAGCGTGGTTCCGAGCTTACTGGAACTCACTGGATGTAGAAGGTTAATACTGAGAATTTCAGTCCCACAAAGAACAGCAGCTGCAGGCACAGGTCATTGGGCTGAATGATACGCATGAATTGTGCCTACTGTCCTGAGAAACACACATATTCCTACCAGGAACAGAGCCGTCTCTGTCGTGATTCTCAACCAGCGAAGGCGAGATGGAAGGTGTTCATCTCCATGAATGGGGCACATTATTTTAAAATATGATCTCCACATGGATCAGGTATTTGTGTTTTGTTTCTCCCCATAAAATGCCCCTTTTCCACTGAAATCACCGCCAGCTACACTGAGCCCAAAACCTAATCCTGTGTACCCACTTTCTATCTGTCTGTCTCTCTCTCACACATACAATGTTGTGCCCATGAAGGCATCCTTCGGTTTTCTTTTTTTTTTATTGAAACATAATTGAATATATATATTTGTAGGGTGCAGATTAGAATATCAATACATGTGTACAAAATGTGGTGATATCCTTTGGTTCCTTGTGAGTCATTTCTTCTTGATAAAAACTATCAAATGCTGAAAAAAAATTCAGTTGAACATTCTTAATATGACCACATTTTTTCATTTCTAATTGGAACTCCTAGCACCGAGTTGAAATGTATTAGTGTTCAGAGGAAGAATGCAATGATTCAGAAGCTGTTCATTCTCACTGGGAAATGCTTTCAAAGCTTTTTCATCTTTGCTCTAGTACTTTGACCTCCTCCAGCTCTCTGCTCACAGACCACTTTAAGATCTACAGCCTGCCTTTGGTCCAATAGTGTGCTGCCCAGTGTTTAATTCTGCCTGGGGCCCTGGGAGCTGACAATGGACTTTGCCACCTCAACCTGGGCTCGGGTTGACGTACTCCTATAGCTTAATTACAGTGAAGGTTTGGAGTCCCTGCCATGGGGCAAGTGGGAATGTAGACTTGCAAAGTTTGAACCTCCATGGTAGAGTCTGAGAGCACTAGAAGGAGGTAGAAATCCATGGCTCCACATGTGGGGCTGTCTTTGCTGGCTGTGTGACTCTGCCTGAGCTGTTGTCACCTCACAGTCCCAGTTGCCTCATCTACCAGATGCACATAATACAGACGGCTTGCCCTGCCTCCTAGCTTGTCAGATATGAAATGAGATGATGTATGTGAAAGTGGTCATGTTTAAGCATGGCAATGAGTTATTCAAATGGACTGGGAAGGGGGACGTTATTTTCACAAAATGGACTTAAGTCCCTTATGCCCATCCCCCACCCCTGCCTCTCCTTAGACCCTCAAGACAGGAGGCCTGAAGGATGATGGTTGAGATGTTCTTTCAAGCTGTCAGGGCTATAAAACTGCGAGCTGCTGGGTGGAACACACAGACTGCCAGGGACTACGTGAAGCAGCAGCAGGACAGAGTGGGACGGAGCCTTATCCTGTCAATTTGGGGGGAAGCCCACGTGCCTACCTTCTTGCCTTCTCCATATATAAGGGGAAACTTCAAGTCATCCTCCTCAATGGTTTTGTATGCCCTGTAGGGGGATAAACAACATTAAAAAAAGGTTTGCACTCAATTAGTGACCCGCTGCCCTGACACAGGCTGCTAAGGACTTCATTTTCTCTGAGACCCCATCCACTTACCATGCAGCCTGTCTCTGTCTTTATAAAGTTATTCTCCCTACAGAATCTGTGTGTGCATGTGTGTGTCCGTGCACGTGTGCGTGCATGTGTATTTTAGTAAACCAAATCTGAAGAGGGAGAAAATAAGTTGGCATGTTCATAATTAGCTAGAAGGGGAAATGGGTTTCTGCCCTTATTGTCTGTGCAATAGTGAAGTGACCTAGTAACAGCGACTGGAGTCTCATCATTAATCAGAAACTGTGAAAGACAGCAAAGCTCAGAGATGGAGGGGGTGTGAAACTGCTCCAAGAGCCAGTTCTCACCTTCAGGGGTTGTTTACACCAAAGCAACCCGATATTGAAGTGGCCGGAGAAGGAATATTTAGAGCCTGTTTGACCTCAGTATGATATTCAAGGTTGGCAGAAAATTCTGTGTTTCACAATAGCTTTTAAATGACCACCTGACACACAGAAAGAAAACCCAGTTTATGCTTCAATGGTTTATTCCAGACGCGGTTGTCCAGATGCCTCTGCCTACACAGCGGCACAGCGAAGGCGGAGAGCGAGTGAAGCCCATGTGTAAAGCAAGGCAGATCATAACTAAAGCCAGAATGTTACACTGTTTTAGTTATACTAAGTTTCCATTTACATTATCAGGGCTAGGGCTCAGACCCTCCAAACCCACTGTACAGACTGGGTCACCAGACCCCTCACACGCAGGTCCATGCTAGGTAATTGGGAAAGATTCCGAGAGCTGTTGGGAGACGACATGAGCTCAGTCCTCAGTTTCCTCAGCGGCAGCAGCTTACAGGTTCAGTAGCTTACAAGTCTGGCAGTGGCAGTGGCCTTGCAGAGGGTCCCGGGGGCACTAGCAGCAGCAGCCTCCAGCAGCAGTAGTGGCCTGCCCATGCCCACCCCCCCTAAGGGGATGGGAGGCATCCTGGGGATGGGAGGCACTGTGGATCAGAGCCACTCATCCTTATACTTAAGTCCATAACCCAGATCACCTGGGTGCACATGCGCAATTACGCTAGACGATAACCAAGGAACTCCTGAGCGCATATGCCTGTTTACATCAAATGCTCGGCAAGATTCTGAACATCTGAGGGGCCCTGACCATTTTCCCTATATTTTCCTGACACCGTGTCTTGCAGTTTTGCTCACAAGTTAGAAAACAAGCAAGTAAACTTGGTGACCGATTATTACTTGTGTTACCAAGAAGCTTCACCTCTTTTAGTCTCAGTTTCCTCATCCATAAAATGAGGATAATACATAGGATAAAAAGAATTCAACACAGAGCCTGCACAAGCCCAATTAGTGGCAGCGATTACTAATATTTAGTAGATACTATACACTTGGTACACCAATTTCTCTTTGTGCAAAATGAGGACGGCACTGCTTTTTCACCACCTCAAAAAAGAAGTTATCAGGAAGACGAAGTAAAAGATGGGGTAGATTCTGCAGGGTTAGGTGCTCGAAGTAGATGCTTTTCTAAAATAATGTCTCCTGGGTGCATGGAAAAAAACTAACTTATTAAATAGCCCATCAGTCATGGATATACCTAGGCAACGTGTGAGTAAGTCTGAAATCAAATTTTATAGAAGCTCTTGATAAACAAAAGAATACAACCCAATTTGCAATCCCTAAGTAAAGCAGGTATATCCTTATTTTCCAGGAAGTTGTTTGGATAAGTTGTTCCTTTCTAAGGGGTAGAGAATCAGTGAAGTTTCAGAACCAGGAGGGTCTGAGCTCAAGTTCAGCACTGCTTTCTGTAAGCCCTGGGCAGATGGACATACTCTCTGGACTCAGAATCCTCATAAATCAAGTAGGACAAAAAATGGGGCTGTGGCGAGGGTTACAATGGGCCAGTGAATGGCTTGGTAAGTACTTAGCACAGTGCCTGTTACAGGCTGAGAGCTCAATAAATGCTACTTGTTGCTGCTACTGCTGTCAAGTGAGCCCAGAAGTACTCTAGGAACTGAATTTTCAAAAAAGGATCTATACTATTTCCTTCCCCGAAATCTACCAAATTAACACAAAGTGGAATAGCCACTTTGATATTTTATATACTCACACAAACTGTTTTAAACACTGTGGTATACAAGTCACTCGGGGGAACAAATAAAGCTATTATTAGACTACAGCCCCAGCTTGGGGATTGAATGAGTTTGCAGACCAATGGTTCTCAACCTTGGCTGCATACTGAATCACCTGGATGGGCTTTAAAACATCCTGGTGCCCTAGCCACATCTCACAGCAATTAAATCAGAATCTCTGGAGGTGGAACTCAGGCATCAGGAGTTTTTAAAGCTTCCCAGGTGACTCCAATGTGTAGCCAAGGTTGAGATCCACTGCTGCAGACCGAGAGTCAATCAGCTAACATGTGCAATGAGTTGAGCAATAAGCCCCTTAATCAGCCTGACCCTGAAGAAGACAGACACATTGGCTCAAGGGAGAGGGGGGAAAAGACTTGAGCAAGGCTCTGAAAGGAGCAGGAGCAGGGCTTAGAAACCCCATGTGGAGAGGAAAGGGTGGAGAGTTAGAAGACAGCCCACACAGAGAGGAACAGGGGCAGGCAGGCTACAAAGACAGGGGCTGCGGCCCTGAGATCCAGGCACAGACGTCTGGAATTAAACAGGAGGCAGAAGGCAGCAGCTCTGGAACCAATGACTGGAATTTACTTAGAACTCACTCAAGATAGGCTAAGAGCATTCTTAACAGGCTTGAAAAGGCAGTGGGAAAACTGTTCTCTGAGTCCACCACAAGCCCAGGGAATCAAATTCTCTGTAGGCAGAGGATTTCAGGAGCACAAGTCCATGTCACCACAGCTCTGGAAGACAAACGCTCGATTGGAGTAGTCACCCACAGACCCAAGACGACTGCAAATTTTGATATTATATTTTAGTTTTCTTTATCTTTGGGAACAACAACAAAAATTAAGAAATAGAAACCGTAACCTTGGAAAAGTAAAGTTTATTGGGTTTTTGCCAGTTTTCAGTCAAATATGAGCTCTCCCCTCTTCTGCCAGCTACAAATGACAAGAGTGAATAACTATAAAAAAGGAGAGAAGGTACAACACCCTCACCCTCGTAGTCTTTCTGAGTCCTAAGCATAGTTTGTCATATAAAGGTAAGTGGACTTCCATTCATGGTTAGAGACTCTTCAGGAGCAAAGTGTAAAATACTTGAGTTAAAAACTGGAAGCTTAGAGTCTGTATAAATTAATGATAGCTAACAATAACTACAGCAGCTCTGATTTACTGAGCATCTTCTACATGCCACACACTGGGCTTGGTGCTTATTTATCGTGTCTAAAACCTCTCAAAGACCCTGCAGTGTCTTACCTCACAGATGAAGGAACAGAGGCCCAGAGGTTAAGTTACATTCCCAAGATCACATACCAAGTTAGTGACCCTAAAACCAGACTCAGGCATTCCCAGAAAACAAACCAAAGAAATGTGATATCAGGGCTCAGCTTGGGGAATTTCTCATTCTAGTTGAAGAGTCTGAAATGAGACAGTTATTGTCTACCTCTCAGTGGGTGACCCGCAGGCATTTGATGAAGAAAAGGGGACTTTTGGTAGAAAAGGGGAAGTTTTCTGTGTGAGTGGCGGAGGAACAAAAGGGGACAAAGCCAGTGGCTGCTCTACTATAGAGTCTACAGGGAAGAAAAGAGAGAAGTTGACAGAAATGACAGGCCATGTGCTTAGATATGAAACTGCATCCCAGGCCATTTCACCTGTGGCCACAGAGTCAGCTGAGCCCCTTCCCACAGAGAACTGACCTCCCTCACATCTGTCCTCACGGTGTAAGGGGGCCACTTCCTGCCCACTTGGAAGCCGCCTGCAGTTTTATATTATAGTCTGCTGCCTATCGGCCTGAATTTCTGCTGCCAGCTCATCCTTGACTTCCATCCTCATTTGGGCGAGGTGAGAGGACAGGAGAGAAGTTTGAAGCTTGAGAACTTCAAGCCATGAGGGCACTTTGGATCTGATATTAATAGAGAATGTCTAGTCACAGGACCAACTCCTTCACAGCAGACACTAAGAATTTTGACATCCTGAGTAAATTTTAAAAAATAATTCTAGAAACAGCTCACTAGTTTTGCAATAATATAATGGACCAGAGATTATATTCAAAAATTACTTGTAACAAGATAGCAAAACTGAAAGGCTTAGGAAAGATCTTCAGAGTAACTCTTACTTTGGGTCAATTTCTTTATAAATATTTATGAGGCCAATTGACAAAAGGATGAGGAAAATAAATTCTTGGCTTTCCCTAACTCAGAGGCATTATTCTCAGATGTTTCCATTAAACACGTTTTTAACAAGTAATAGTTTCTCTGGCAATGCTGATTGTGCAAAAAAGTTTAAAAAACAAGCCACTGTTGGTCTAGACCTCCTGGGAGGAAAAGCTCAGCAGTGGATGAGACTGAAAGGCCACTAGGTCAGCTGCACCCCAAATATGGGAATCCCTCCCACAACACACCTTATAGTGTGGTTCCTAGCCTCTGTCAAATGGACTGCTGTACACTGTCAATGTCCTAGGAGCTTTACAGTACTTAATGTCAGCCCATTGCACTGAAGAACAGCTCTGGGAAATGCTTTTTAAAATTGAACCAAACCTACTGGTGTGTTTTATCCATTCTCTGGAAAAACATGAAATAAATTCAGTATCTTTTCTGCTTGAGAGCTCTGAAAATATTTGAAGAGAACCATCTCAAAGTTTCTTCTCTAATTCTTTCAGCTGTTCTTCACATGACCTGGGGACCATCTCTTACCACTCAAGTCACCATTCATTCAACAAATGTTTATTAATTGAGCATCAAATACTGTGATTGGGGCCCTCTGGGGGGTTTCTAGTTTGTCAGCGACCTCAAAGAATGGCAGCACTCAGAACTAAAAACACTTACAA